ACTCTGACTACACGCTGTGTAAAGAAGTGCTTCCTTAAATCCAGTTTGAAATGTTCTCCCGCTAATTTCCACCTATGGCCACGAGTTCTTGTATTGTATTGTATTGTATTGTATCTTATGCATGTGGTTAACTGACAAAAAAAGCTTTTTCTGGCATACCTTCCAAATAATCTGTTAGCAAGAAGGGGGCGAATGATTTTGGTTTTTTCAGAGACGTGGTAACCTCAAGATTTTACTTGGTCTTGTAATTCACCAACAGTGAACCTCTCTTATGATCCTCCTCACTGTATGTGAGGGAAGAATAAACTTGTGTCCTCTTCCAGGCAGATTTGTAACAGTTCCAGTTGTTGTCCACTTTTTTATTATTGCCCTAACAGTAGAAATGGGCATTTTCATGTGAATAGCTATCTTTTAATACCCACTCCCTGACTTATGAAGGTCAACACACTTCTCCCTCATTTAGTTATGTTCTCTTATCTTTCCCATGTGGATGGATGACTAAAGGAATTTGGGCTCTGTGTCACTCATGTTTGTACCCCAATTAATCAAGAAGTTATGAATTACAGCTTAAAGGTTCGTATTCACTGAAAGATGTACAATTAACGGGGGAAACATGCTTCAATTACATTATGTTCACTATAATTTCCAGGGGTGCCAACAATCGTGGCACATGCGTTTTTGTCAAAAATATTTATTTCTTGATGGAGGATTTGTTTTTCTTTGAATGAATTTATTTCATTTTTTCAATGTGAGATGAAGCTACTTCACTAAAAAGTAAATTTTTTCTAACCTATTTTACAAATCTTTATAAGTGGTGCCAATAATTGTGGAGGGCACTGTATGAGACAAAATGAGTTCAAAGTTGTTTCATTTCAAAACTGATTATGGCTTACTACTGTACCTGTGCTGCAATAATCTTCTGCTTGGCATCTATTATTGCCTGCATCTCTGTATGGTCCTTCTTCAGTTCATCTTCTACAGTCATCAATCTATTTAAGGGTGGAGAGATAAAAATAATAAAAGAGAGAGTACAGTGCTGTATAATTATGCATAATGTACAATGCATTGTGCAAAGTGTAAAGTTTGGTGGAGGGGGGATTATCGTGTGCGGTTGTTTTGCAGGGGTTGGGCTTGGCCTCTTAGTTCCCGTGAAAGGAACTCTTAATGCTGTGGCATTCTAAGCCATTTTGGGCAATTTCATGCTCCCAACTTTGTGAGAACAGATTGGGGATGGCCCCTTCCTGTTCCAACATGACTGCACACCAGTGCACAAAGCAAGGTACATAAGGACATGTATGAGCGAGTCTGATGTGGAGGGGGGACTACTTTAGTAAAACCCTAACCCTAGTTATTTGTGTTACCAAAGAGTTAAGGTAAGATTTGAAAGTTAGAAAGTTTCTTAATGCCTCCCTAGGACGGATCAGACTGAACACAGTCATAAATAAGGATTTAGTTGACTGGATAAGATCGATCTGTTGTGATATAGTTTGGAATGTAAACAAGCAAAAGTTATGTTTTAGTTAGAGCCCGCCCACTGAGTTTGATGGGTGACTTTGACAGATAATTTTATGGTTGCTATAATCATTTCAATAGTCATTTAAACAATCATTTAAATAACAATTTAAAAGATTATTTAAACAATCACTTAAATGACAGTTTAAATAATGATTTAAATAACATGTTTATTTATTGAACACCCTCCATGTTGAAGCAGTGAACCTAATTTAATGAAGTTTTTTCCCTCAAAGCACACTGACATTCTACGCTAGTTTAAGGACTGGAAAACATGCACATATCACAGATTTGATTTACAAGAAAAGGGATACAGGGCAAAGCAGGTATAGGACGGGAAGGATGTAACTTCTGTTTACGATTCTGCTGATTTCAATGAAATACCGAAAGATGATGCTCTTCATCTGGATGTCCTTCTCCTCTTGCTGCCGCCGCAATCTCTCCTCACTATCCTGCAGACGCACTTTGTAGTCAAGGAGCAGCTTCTGCATCTGCTGTTCCTGAGTCAGAAGGCGGTGCTCATATTCGCCCAGGCGGTGGCTGGATGCTCGCAGACGCTCTTTCAGCTTAGAGATTTCAAGTTCATACTGATGGAAATGGCCCACAGAGACACCCACAAAGGGACATGACTTAAAAAATGAAGCACAATGAGTGTTGGAAGCACAACTTTGTATTTGCACGTTCAAAAAGTGAAAGTGTGTCTCTCTCCCAGCCAAAGTCTAAGTTACTTCATGCAAGAAACCACTTCCACTAGAGATCAGTTCTAATCCACAATAGTCTGATTTACATCTAAACTTAAGCAAAAGTACAAGATGTATACCATAATCATATAGATGTTTGGCTTTACTCTACATCAAGAAAATTCTTGAGGACCCATCACACCCTTAACATGTACTGTTTGAATGCCTGCCTTCAGGCAGACGTTTCAGATCCTTGAAGACTAAAACTAACAGACTAAAAAACAGTTTCTATCCTTCAGCCATCAACATGCTAAATGCTGCTAAGCTTATAATCTGATCTAATGCACCTATATTTACAATACAGTGTCATATTTACAACTAAGTTGAACCATTGCTTAATTTTAATGCTGCTATTTTCAAGTGCAAGAGGTGAAACGTGCAGTGTCTTGAAACTATGGGGTATGACTACTGTATCGTGCTGGTCTGTTTGTATATTTATTGTTTGTTTATTTATTGGATGTTTTATTGTTACTAATGTGTCTATTGTTTGGATGTGACACTGGAGAGGATGCACCTTTAAATTTTGTTGCTGTGGAAACAACAATGACAATAAAGCATCTGAATCTGAATTAACTACACCTTCATAATAAATATACCTTAACATCCTAACATACCTTAACAGCATTAATATACATTAACAACAAACATATTATGATAATAAACATTATAATCCTATCATATAATGTTTACTATTAATGTACATTAAAACTGTCAAGGTATGTTAGGATGCTAAGGTATACTTATATGCTGTTTATGAATGAATAAGAAATGCATTATGAATATAAAGTTAATGTAAAGCATTACCAATTTTTAATACACATCCAGCTTTACTTGTCTTCTTCAATCACTCCACTCATGCATATAAATGCTCTCAAGGCTACACTAAGAAAATTCTTTACCTTTTCTATACATTTGCTTCCATCCTGACTTGGGCAATGCTTTTCTACCTCATAATCTTCATATTGCCCATTATTCAGCACCCAAGCAGCTGTCCTGTCCACTGGGGACACGTTGACCGATTCGATAGGTACAGCCACCTGCAGCCAACACAAGCATGCTGAGAGCCTGCAACTTATAGCCGACACCACTCCTGGTAAAAAATTTTGTGTTAACCATTTTTTGTAGAAGTTTGTCTACTTCTGTATGCATGTATACCTTATTATGTCTGTGGACACAGTACCTGCTTGTTTGGCTCCCTGGCAAGGGATATTGGGCTGTCCCTGGAGGAGGCAGAATGCTGACAGGAACAGTCATTATGGAGGGCCCCTTTGCTGGTGCTTTTGTTGCTCTGCAAGGGGGAGCTATGAGGAAGGGTGTATGGAGCCTGGAGCCCATCACTAGAGCATACTTGTGCACCCATGACAACGTGGTGGGTGTTCAAGTGACTCTGTGGAGACAAGCCAGCAGGCTGGGGCAGGGTATCGGGCTCTGGCTGCCCAAGCTGACATGGAGTAAAGCACTCCTTGCTTAATGCACTTCCATGATCACATTCTTCTATGCTGCTGTTGGATGCAATGCTCATGTTGCTCTGGAAGAATTCTTTAAAGCAGCTAAGGCCACGCATGCTCTCCATGTTGAGACTCTCTGAGCTCGAGCCTGGATGGAAAGATTTTTCTGACTGAACAGGCAGATTGACCAGCTGGTAAACAGGATTCTGGAAGCACAGAGGCCGCGAGTTGCTTTGCTGTTTGACCATGGGGTGGAGGGGCTTCCGCATCTGTGGGACACTTTGGGGCAGGTCGCTCAGCATCGAAGGTCCCAGATTTAAAGAGTGAAGAGAAGCATGGGGGAGTCGCAGGATGCCGACAGACATCTGGGGGCCCATGCAGCTGAGCCTGACAGAGCGCTCACGCTGTGGCGTTCCCTTATCATGACTCAGCTGGAGATCCTGCAGGTCCATCAGAGAAATGCTACGGCCATTGGGAAGAGGATTTTCCTGATCCTCCTTTTCAAGAACTCTCATGCTTTCTGTAGACTGCTGGGCAGTGGTGAGCCTCTTCATTGGGAAGATGCTGTCTACATTCTCCTGGACTGTAGACTGCACAGGCACCTCACTTAGAATAATACAGAACATGTCAATTCAGTCTGTTTCCTTAGTGAGGATAACAGTTACTGTTATGGCATATTGTACAAATAGTACTATACTGCTTTTAGATCAGCCAGTGACTTCACTGTGTCACAAATCTGGAAAACTAAATACGATATGCTAAAAATTCTAACTGTTGTACAGTTATACGGGTATATGGAATTAACGTTTAAAACAAAATGTACACAACTGTATGGAAAGTATTATCAAAATAAATAACTATATCCAGACTGACTCAGTTACTTAGACCTGTTACCCCATTTTGAGAAGCTTAATATACTCATAGCTGTACCTTTCTATCTTTATTAAAGAACAAATCTTTCTGGATGAAAAGAATCATGCAAGCAAAAACACCAGAAGCAAGCAATTTAACAAGACTCAGGACAAATATGTACTCTATAGTTTTCTTCAATTAATTCAGATTTTTTGTAAAGAAGTTACTATAGAGCAGCAAAGAACAGAAAGTCATCTTGTGAATGCAATACATATGAAAGTATGTATGTTTGAAAATTTTCGAAGAACAATGTACAGGTCAGTGGTTCTAACCCTGAGACGACGCTTAACTAAGCGAGACAGTTAACTTGGTCTGGAGCAGACTTGTTCACTCGCCTAAGTTACCACAGTAGCTCAGTGGGGATTCATTTAAGACATGTTGATGGAACAGAACTCCTACTTAAATGAGCCAGACTTGTCGGAATAAGTTAGACTTTCCCTTAATCCTGCTTTGTGGAACACCCCCCTGTTCTTATTCTCTTGATTGTATTTTGTTTTTCTTATTCTTTGTTTTTATTTGCACACGCTGTAGAGCACTTTGAGCTGCATTCAGATGTAAAAAAGTGCTATATAAACAAATCTATTAATTACTATGACTTCACAGGGGAAATGGCTTTAAAGATCTTTTTTTAGAGACCAATAATATTCCTTCCTGGTGGAAAAAAAATGCTAGAGAACCCCTGAATTCACAGCTAAAATCAATACATTCAAGCAAATGGAGGGGGATGGTGAGGAAACATGGCTGCTTATTTGTATTATTTAATTGAAGGCTAATACGTAAATGAAAATCTTTCCAGTAGAGTGCACTTCCAGTAGTTGTCAGGCTTCTACTTTTAGAACCATACGTAAATAGGTTTTAGGTTGACATCATTTTTTTTGTTCCTAAACATTTACTTTGTTTTGAGAGCAATGTCATTAACTGAGAAAAAAAAGTTTGCTAGTGGATTAAAACACTTATGTTGAAGCTGCTTTAGCTGACACATGTAACACAGCTATAGGCATAGTTTATTTCTGTCTCTATTTTGAGACATTTATTTGGAATTAAATATTTCTATACTAAATATACAGACTATATCATCATTTTGGATGGCATTGCAATATGATTGTCTATGCAATTTATCACCAATGTGTATGATTAGTTGCAATTTAAAAAAATGAATCATTTGACAGCCTTACACTACAATGCCCTCTCCTTTCTTATTCCATATGTTCATCAAGCCTTTTTGAAAGCATTGAAATTCAGCTTGTACTTGTTTACAAATAGTATTTTTGATGTAAATGAATATCAGTATGACAAGTTTATGCAACATTCTTAAACAAATGTTAAAATATACTTCCTTTGTGTTGATTCTACATTAATTTGGGGGTTTGATGTGCAAATATTTATGATCATAAGTTTTAATGTTAGGTTCGATTAATCTAGATTAATTTGATGAAAACCATGCAATTAGTTCTCTCTTTAAATGGATTGACAGCCCTAAATGGGATACATAGGTCCTACCTGCTGGTAGGATCTTCATCTATCTTCTGCAGGCTGAGGGAAATACTGCTGCTGATGTTTACGGAGGAGCTGTGGTTCTGGGTAAAGTGCACTTGCAGGGAGACTGGCGTGGGGCTGGACATACACTGGCTGATGTCAGTCAGTATGTGGGGCAATGGACCAAGCTTGGCCAGCGTCTTCTGCAGGAAAAGCAACATCACCAATCATGGAATCTCTTAGATATATCCCCTCCAAGCACGGTGCTTAACATTACTTAACAAACTCACTTAACATAACATATTCATTTAACATACTATCTACTCCAAAAGATGTTAAAACTTAGCTGTTAAAATATCCAATTGTAAAGCTGTAAGTTATTTAACAAGGTAAAAACTGCTGTCCACTAAAACTATAAATAAGCAAGATGAGTTTGATAATTACTGAGACACTGTTTCTATATTTGTACCAATATTTCTGGCACTTCTATTTGTGTAATCACTTAACTCAGTAGTGGAATAAGTAACGTTAAACACAGTCACTCACAAATTATCATCAACTGAACTCTCCTGGATGAGGGACTACGGCTTTGATACCTTGTCTAACTGTGGCACTACCTCCCAGAGGAGAGAATGCAAGGCTGAAAGCTCGCGGCCCAGATCAATGTAGCTTTCAAAGCTTGCAGTGCTGGAGATGTTGTCCGGGTTGGAGATCTCATTCAGGAAGTGATTCATGGTGGCCCATTCCTTCTCCAAAAAGTCATTCATGAAAGACATATACTCTTCCTTGATGCCAAATCTGCATGGAGCGGCAAAATAATTGGGGGAATGTTCATACAGAAGATTAAATTCAGGGATAAGCAGCAAAACTACTTTAAAGCCTGTACAAACCACTGCTGTACAAAATCCATTATCTGAACTACTACAGCAGTTCAAGGAGGCGGATGTGTTAAAGTTTCATTCAATTTGTTTATGTATCCATAGCAGTTAGGCAGTTAAGATACTCAAATCTTCCAAGTTCTACTCCTTCATTACCTTTACCAGTAATGTTATACAACTAAAACATTTCAGAACCCTGGGCTTTTTTTCTGTTACGTTTTCTGGTTACATCTGAAAACATACTTGGTGAAGTTGGCCAGGTTCTGAATGACTTTTGCGATGAGGGTGAGTGTTCTGGAGGTGCGGTTGTCTGGGTACTCCTGTGTGAGGCTGAAGAGTGATGGCGACATGATAGCAGGGCAGAGGAACCGCAGGAAGAGTGAGGAGCTGATAAGGTGCTTGCTGATGTCCGGTCTCCCGAGGGAACAGCAGCATTCCTTCCATGCTGAAAAGACTTCCTTAAGCTCCCGTGGAAAAACACTGAGGATGTAGGCCACGGCACAGGTTGAGGCACACTCTTGAACAACCGCACACATGTACCAGCTAACAATTTTTTGTTCTAGGAACATTTGCCAAACGTTACAATTGAAGGTATGGAAAATATTCAAAATGTCCAGTTTTCCTGATTTTCGCAGAACATTATCTCTCTATTTAAACTACAACTAAGAATAATAATGTAGAAAACAAATAAAGGGTAGAGCAGTGGATAACACTGTTGCTTTACAATTTTTAACCATGCACAGCTGAGTGCAGTACAGTTAAAATCAAAACAGCGTTTCTCTCGGATCAAGGTGCTACATAAATTAACACAAGGCTAATGCATAACAGCCTAACAATGTAGGTTGCATAGTGTGCAAAAGCTGTGCAAACATTGCAGGACAGTGCAAAAAGAGAGCACAACTGACACCAACGAGTACAAACAGCACAGTAAACTCAATATGGATAAGGTGCAGTTTGGTTGTGCAATGAGGTAGTAATAAAACATAAAAAAGTAATTGTAAACATGGTTACAATAAGTTAATAAACAGAATAATATTATAAAATAATATTTTTTTATAATAAAACAATATTCTTCAATAATAATTATGTTAAAAGGAAGTTCAGGTAATAATGCTACCATGCTAACATTAACAGAAACTGTTAGCTAGAATTATGAGTAAATGAATGAGAAAGGCAGAAGGGCTCTCACCAATATGAGCTTATGATCTTGCAGAAGGCTAGCTCACAGCACATCTTCAGATTGCTTTGGTGCTCCCAGATGTCAGAGCTTGTGGATTTGCTAGGGTCCACTTCACAGTTCTCATCAGACTCATACAATGCTTTTATAAATTCCCCTGAAAATGGCAGAACACAGGGAGTGGTCCAGGCAATGAATGACAACACCTGTACATTAGGCAATCCGGGTTGTCTCCTGAAATGGTGACATTTGCGGGCTCACCTAGGGCATTGTGTAGGTACTTCTGGCCTACCAACTTCAAGTACTGCTCAACAGCTTTGGTAGTCAGTGTGTTCTCTCTGAAGATGAGCACATCATGGTGCACCCAGGTGGCTGCCTCAGACATAATCAGCTCAGTGAGAAAGTCCTAATGAAAATAAACTGGAGTAAACGAGTTTGCACAGGGGGAAATAATGCTAACCTTGCAGCTTAGCTTCACATGCTAAGGCTCTGCAGGCTGATATACACCCCTCTGTACAAAATAATAGTAATTCTTCAATAGAGCTGGGCAATATAGCCAAAAATGTCGTCATGATTAAAGAATTCATATCGGTCGATATCGAGAATTATTGTGATTAATGTCAGATCATCGTTTCTCTCCAGTTTAAAGGATGAATTTTAATCCCAACTTAAAATCAAAGAAAAGAGATGGTTAATCGTAGTTATAAACTATACTTAATCTTCAGAACTTAAACACCTGCCAAACTGTAGTGATGGCCAAAATGAAGCTTCCGGAACGTTTGGCTATATTTTCTGTCCCCACTAGATGGAGCTCTTTGTTCAAAAAAGGGCTCAAAGCATGCCGAAAATGAAACAAAAGCACCACATGTACCAAATAGCATTTCGAGATAGAAGATGAGCAAGTTATTTTAGCCATCGAAACGCTGCAGCCTCCCTTCATCCTCTCTTTTCCTAATTCTCTGTGGATTATTACCAGAGCTGGATAATTCAGGTCCAGAGAGTAAAAGTCCAGACCAGGATTTTGTTTCAACCAACCAGTTGAGTACTCTGTGACTGTCTCTATACTCAACGGTTTGCTTGAAAAAAAATCCTGGCCTGGATTTTTACTCTCTGGAGCTAAATTACCCGACTCTGATCATTACTATATGAATTTCTCATGGACTGAATTTTACTGTGGATTTTCCTTTTGGATTTCCCTGGACTACCCTTACTGAATGGGTTGCTTTGGACTTCCAACGCCGGTGAGTTGCCCTGTTATTGTGACAGTTTTGTCTGTTGTCTGCCTACTTGCCCTATTGCATTCTGTTTTGGTGTTCTGACACCAAAGTAGTCATAGAGAAAGTGAGCTCATTTTATTATGCAAAGCCTAAAGCCAGCAGCATGGTGTGTCTTAAATTATATCGAACTTTTATGGAGCATTTGGCATATTGATATCAAGAGAAATTATATCGCGATGATTATTATCGTTATCGTTTTATCGCCTAGCTCTATTCTTCAACCAAAAGCACAGGAAAAAATCTTCATTTCAGAAAAGAAAGTTTGGCCCAGGCACATGTGGTTTAAGTTAGTTTCTCTGTAAATTATCTTGGGACATAAGAAACAAATAATTTATTTTCAAGTCTGATGACTAACAACCACAAGGGTTACAATCTATATTCCATAACACAGATTATTTATTAGTATTTGCCTGTGTATATGACACCCTATACCCCCACAAAAACGTTGCACATATATCCATGGCCAGCCCCTTGAAACACCCTTATTTTTCAGTCAATATCATGTTTAACATAATCACAGGAACAAAGCCAAATACATTTCCTTCTTTGTTGAAGAACTGACTGCCAAAATGAAGAAAACTACAAATAAAGGGCTGGTAATCATGTGATTCTTAACACCTTTCAGTAAACCAATATGGCCTAAAATATAGCTGAAGATAGAGGCATCCAAAAGTATTAATCAAATCACTACCTCATTCCAGCAGTATACAAAAAAAAATGTGCATTATAATTTTCTGTTAAATATTAGTGAGTAAATGATGGCCTGGCAACTTGAACTTGTCATATAAAGACAAGACATTTGACAACTATTGCCGTTACCATTTAATTACCCTTCAAAATCACATAGAAATAAGAGGGAAAAAACAAGAAACATGAACCTCAGCTGCATCTTATACAGTGGAGATCGAAAGTTTGGGCACCCCAAGTAAAAATGTTTATTAATGTGCATAAAGAAGCCAAGGAAAGATGGAAACATCCCCAAAAGCCATCAAAATGCAAAAAAACATCAAAAAAACAGTCCCTGACACTGTCAGGTCTCAGCTTGACAAAGGGGGTAGTACAAGGTATTAACTCTGCAGGGTGCCCAAACTTTTGCAGACACCATTATTTGGTTTTCTGTTATTTTGAAAGTGTAAATGATGAAAATGAAATCCAACTTTGTTTTACATATTATAAGAATGTCTCATCTGCATTTTGATGGCTTTTGGGGATGTTTCCATCTTTCCTTGGCTTCTTTATGAACATTAATACACATTTTTACTTGGGGTGCCCAAACTTTCGATCTCCACTGTAGGTGGTTGGCCTACAAATAATGCCTACAGTGTCAGTTGAGTGAATAACACACCAGAAGCTAACAGCCTAGATATTGAGTAAATTCTCAAGATGTGAAAAATCCCAGACACACTTCTCTGTTCTGCTCTTCTGGCTTAATAAGTTTTCTAGATGTATATGCTACAGACAGTTACACTTGCAAAAACAGCAGCAAGTAGGTCATTAAGAAAACAGTTATCAATAGTCCATGCTTACAAAGTAACTAAAATCTACTTTCTAAACATCTTGAAAACTGATGTTGTTGATACAGTTTAAAGACTTTACACAGAAGCTTATCTGACAATACTATAGTTTCAGCAAATATCCCTATTTCTGAGCTAGTACTACCATGCGATCTGACCTTTTAAATGCTATCAACAACTACATCTGTACAGGGTCAGGACAGCTGAGACATGTTTGAAATTAAGCCTTAGCTTACCTTAGCTCTCCCTGTGCTCTGAAGGATGTGGACCAGGGCAGAGGCCATTTCTTCCTTGCTTCTCACACTAATTACAGGCTCCAATACAGAGCAGAGCATACAGTAATTACTGGTGATGAACTCTGCAAACTGCTTGTACTGCTCCATTGGCAGGATGGGGACACCCTGAAAGCGCAACCTGATGCGGATCATAGGCCCTCCCACCTTCCCCTTGCTGGCTGTAGGAGTACTGACAGGGTACCACTTCTCTGTGAAAGGTCTACCTTTAATGCACCCAGTTGGAATATTAACCAGGCCCACATAGTTATTTTTATCCTTCTTTTTATCAATATCCTTGTAGATGTGGACAGTAAGACTGGAAACATTTGGAAGGTTAGAAAACTCAAAATACTCCCCCCAAAAAAGGTTTCCAGATTTTGCCTTGCTGGTAGTGCGGGCATACAGCACATCATCCAAGCACACCTCGCAAAAGTACTTTTTTTTGGCTGGGAAATCCTTGGCCTCAATAATCCAAAGCTGAAGCAAATTCTCAGTTCGTCTGCAGTTGTCCTGTAGTAGGAAATGGAGGGATGCAGTCAATCGCCATTATATTTTTATGTCTCTGTATGATTATGAAATATACCAAAGTAATATGTATATTTTTGAAAGAGAAAAGCACACCAATAGGTAACAGTCAGTTTGTTTTAGGAAGGAAAGGTAGAAGCTGGGAGTGAGCAGTCAGCTCCTAACTACATTTCATTAAACTGCTATGGATTCCACCATATTTAAAGTAGTTTTGAATAATGACAGGATGCACCTTATTAGGTTGCACTGTTCGCTTTAAGTCTTCTATCCATCTGTCCCGCTCAGCTGCTGACGGGCAGCTGAAACATTTGCTCCCACCAGAGTAAGTCACCTAAATAGAAAAAAAAGATAAGAATAATACAATAAGAATAGTTATGAAAAAATACACAGGAACTGGCATGCTAAGAATCATGCTTTTATAAATGTTAGGTGCAAACTGTGGTCAAAGTCCATCAGTGATGCAATTCTCAATGCAAATCCCAACAGGCTGTAGACCATACCCATGTAATCACACCACCAAGGGAGTAAAACAGCACTCCAGCTCGCTGGGCACCATCCGCATGTGTGGAGGTATACAATTGGATACAGCTACACTGTCCAATGTATCCCATTCCTCCAAAATTTAGGCTGGGTTACACCAACATGGTATAATTTCTATATTGGATTAAATCAAGATTTAACTGCTTATCAAGTTGCACCAAACTTTAAACATAGATTGAATATACATAATTTATAGCTTACTCATTGATTGACTACATGCACTGGTGCTAATATTGAAGTTACGCGGAAATGCAGAAGACAACTGAGCAGACGGAAATACCATTGTACCCCAGTTACATTTAATGCATCAATTAATACATTTTTGGTTGCATCTCCCTATTTCTGCATTGGAAAATTCGATCGATAACCAATATACTTTAATCCAATATTGCCGGTGCTGGCGGTGAAACTTGCAAGTGATTATTTTTATAACCATTTTTTTTCTATTCTGTGGAAAACGAAACATTGACCTGCTGGCCAAATTTAATAAGAATCATGAACATGGTGCAGGTCATATAAGTAAAATATAAATAACAGGCTGTCTCCCGTTTTGATTGCAATCAATCCCTCAATAACTAACAAATTACTAACTAATCTATCATGGTGGACACTGAACCAAAATTAATCCTATTTTAATCATGATTTAAACTGGTTTAACTAATCCAGGGTTAAAATTAAGACATGCAATGCATCTCTGATTATTTAAACACCAGTTTAAATCTAGATTTACTAACCCTAGATTGTGTCTACACCAGGATTAATTTAATCCATGTTGGTGCATCCCAGCCTTAGAATGTTACACAATACACTAATGTTTGCTGGGGGGTACCATCTGAGCTGAAGTGCTGGTTTAGTCCCATGGAATTGTGACATTGTGGGTGGAATTTACAAACCATAATATTGTGGGTACAGCCTTCAATCTCCCACCGTACACAGGCTGGCCTGGATAACTGACACATTGATGGACTTTGGCTTTGTCCTTTTAGCAAGCAAGCACACTCTTTCTTTCCTCTCCTCTGTTGTCACCTGGATTGATTTATTTCTTTGCTTTGTCTTCCCTTTCTTTGTTTTTCCCTGTTTTTGGATTGTTCTGAATAAATGATGCAGGTGTGTATTACATACTCATGTATTGTTGTGAAAGGTGCTATATGAAAAATAAATTGAATTGAATAACTATGTCAAGAAAAAGCAAACAGTACATATATTCAAAGAACTCTTAATGATGAAATTCACAACAAAACAGCACATAACAATATGCATAGCAAAAACCAAGGCCTTGGTCAGCTTCAGACTTTAGAGAGTACCGACCTGTCTGATGGTTACACTTTAACCTTCGTGTTCAAATTCCAAAATGGACTCCTTAAGGCAAATATCATACTCACTGCCATGAAAAGAACCATAACAACTGAGATTGCCATTAGCCACTTATGCAACAGTAGAGTCCACAATGGAACTTGAACTTTAAAGCACTAGTGAAGAAGGCTTATGTATATTTTCAGAGGAATAACTTATTTGAGCAAAAAATCACTTTTTCCGTCATCTTAATGTTCCAAACCCAGTTAGTAACTCAAAAACAAAACAAAAAAAAAACTTTTGCCCGATTGTTTTTAGGTTATCCTAAAGGGACAAGCTGCTTGTACTCCAAATAATGCATGCAGTAATGGATTGTTTTTAGACTATGTAACTAATGATAACTGGTTATCATTTTGTGAGTGTCATGCAGTGTTTTATTGCTAGTTTAAATCAGTGTAGTGTCAGTTACCTCAAAGCAAAACTCTTCACCCAGAATGCTACTGTGCAATGGCTTAATCATGACATCCTCCTCTCTGGCCAGGTCCAAAATCTCAACTGCACTTTCTGGATTAAGGAGCGAGTCATGGTGTGAATCATTCAGTTTCAATAGGCCTCGGGTCCTAGGGCAACACATAAATCAAAATTAACTGCATCAGTGCCAAAAGCAAAACAGAACCACAATGAGGAGGAAGACGTGCACCAAACCTTCACTGTAGTCTTGTACTCTGTGAATGAAAATGATTAACAGAATGTGGGGGGCAGGGCATGCTATACACATCTACCCATTCAAAAAGAACGTCAATTGAGATTCCTGCATACACACTGGCCCTTTGTGGATAAGATTGGCCACCCCTGGCCTAGTCTATATCCTAGTCATCACTTTGACGTTATTTAGCTTGATATACTTTCCACAATCCCTGAATCTTAAGGTAATTGCCCCTAAAACGAAGGCTAGCTTTCTTGCTTAGCTGCTTAACATGGTACATAATAACAATGACATTAATTAATAAATTAATAATTAATAATATTTACACGTTTATATATTACATATAAAATGATTGAAATATATTGTATATAAATAATTACTCATTTAATCTTCAAATTAATCAGTAAATTACTCTGAGCACCCTGTATATATAGAACAGCGTGAAACAAAGTGCAGACCACATTTTGGGCATCAATCCCCAAGAGTAAAATCACTCTGCCAACACTGGGATTCAATGCAGGGATCTTCAGATCACAAGCACAGTGTCCTAACCAGCAGAGTTACAGACCCACAGGGCTACACATTAATACAAAAGATAATATTATTAATACTGGGCAGTTGATTAGTAAACAGTATTAAATTTCAGTGTAACCCAGTAAACAATCCTAGTCTCACAAAACACAATGTCATACTTCTCATTATCAATGATTCTCAAAGAAGGGAGCCGAATGCTTGACTTCCTGTCCAGTTTAGACTGACTCTCTGTCCTCTTGATGGATCCTTTCAAACGTTTGCTGAAAAAACCCTAGAACATACACCAGAAAAGACATTATACAGCTAGCATGTGTAAGCTGTAACCAGTCCAGCAATTTATGAATAAGAACAAAGGTTTTCATGCTGCCATCTTAGCTTGGTGTGAACCAGGAGACTTTAAGCTCTCCAAGCAATAGTTAAAGACGTAAAGATGAAAATGAAATTTTGGTTCTATAATGCTCAGAATCATTCATCAAGCACAAATCATGCTCATGGACTTTGACTTGGAGCAAAAGGTGTGGACATAAGGCTATATAGACAAAAATACAGTAAATACAACAAACAGCTAAACACAGTCTAACATTCTAAAATCTAACATTCGTAATATGTAATGTCAAGGTGCCAGTGAGAAAAAAAAATTATGTACAAATATTAAATTGGTATAAAGCTGTACATTTCAGCCAGGGACGGATTACGGACCGGGCCAGCTGGGCCACTGCCCAGGGGCCCTTGGGGTGCAGGGGGCCCATGGGGCCCCTAGCCCAAAACAATTTGCAATGCTTATCAACAATGTATTTTCGTTTGTCTATTTTAGAGGGCCTACATTCTTTGATCCTCTGCCTACAAGGGCCCCTGACCCTATAGGGCCTCTGATGGAAACATGGAGGGAGGGCGTTTGGCTGCCAAGGGCCCTTGAATTGTGGTGGTGGTGGTGGTGGTGGTGGGGGGGGGGCCCTCGCGAACATTTTGCCCAGGGGCCCACACAACCCATAATCCGTCCCTGATTTCAGCAGCACTGTTCATACCATTTGCAATAAGCATATTTTTTTCTAATTTTTAACTAGAATTACTGAAGGTTGTGGACCATTAAAAGGATTACAACATGCTAGAGGAAAAATGATCATTTTCAGGTGATGGAAATGTTATCAAATTAAAATAATCTGACAATTTACATAAAGCAAATAAAAGATCTTCTGAAAATAGCAGCCTAAATTATAACATTTACTTATTCGGAAGAAAAAAACTGAAATTGTTACCTGAGACTGAGTTTACCTCCCATGTTATGGTGAATAAAACCATATTCTTTTTTCTAGAGCAGTGATTCTCAACCCATGGCTTGCGACCCAAATTTTGGTCACAGCAAGCTTTGAAATGATTGCAAGGCAGAGTTAGTTTATAAGTATTTTAAAACCTGCAAGCTCCTATGCCGATCAGATTTTCCAGCCCCAGTCTTAGAGTTAACCTATATAAACTAGTCCTGTGTCTGCCAATGCTTAGCGCAAAACTAGTGAACCAATCCAAAAAGCAGATTTGTATGATAGACATTGATTGGTGTAAATTGCAGAGTGTACCACATACTTGATCATAGCATTAATTTAATCCTGTACTCGATATAGGGTTGCAACTGAGCTGGCATGGTAAAAAGTGGATCACGGTGCAAAAAAGGTTGAAAACCACTGTTCTAGAATACAAGACCTTTAATACAAAAACACATTGGTTTTCATTGATGTCAATGTTACACATGACATTCAGAGTTAAATGCAGTCCTTGGCAGCTTTTAATGAAAAGACAAAGGAGATAACCTCAATACAATGCGGAAGGGTTGCACTAACTGGGATTTTGAAAGGATAGGAGATGAATCCTTCCACTGAATTGTTCTTTTCTGCACTTTCCAGTCCTGATATGCTCTGTCTTCTGGGCGATCGCTCAGCTGATCCTTCTACAATAAAATTGGGATGAGATTAAATAATGGAAGAATACGGACATCACTATAAAATCAAACAATGTGAAATGACAGTTCATAATGCCAGTGGTTATTCAGCAGAACTTCTAGCCATCACATTTTCCATAATCAGTTATCCAGTTCTGACTGGCAGCAAACCTGATGCACTTCCAGGAAGCACAGGACATATTGCAAGATGGCACCTAGATAGTGTCCATCAGACGGCACATGTGCACCAATAGACGTTTAGAGACACAAATCACCCTAAATGAAATGTCCTTCCTCCAAAAGAAAAATCCCGTGAAGGAGGAGGACATGCAGAACTGCATATACTGAGCTACAGTGGAAACTGAACTAATAATACAAACATAATGAGGCCATAATCCAATCCAGCTACAGTGACTTTACAATCAATGTTATCAAAGTTTTGTGAAATTTGGATTATGGTGAACCCAACAGCAGAGGCACCCAGTAACCACAGTGCGCATTGACTGTTAGACAATGAAATTTGAATCAACTAACAACCAATACTACTGATAGGAAACAAGACAATCAAGGCAGAAGGTAGCCTTAGTGTTACAACTGGGGGACTGTACACAACACCTCAACAACCTTTTAAATATTATTATTTTGCAGGTCAAGTACCTATAGACTGGCAGACATGGTAGTGGTCCTCAGAAGAGGTTCCACCCAATCGACAAACATAGAATTCAGGAGGAACAATGCAGATCCTCCCCAGTTAACAATGGTAAAGCTATTCGCCCTCATATAGCTGTGGTACAGTTTGTGTGAATATGCCATCTCCAGGCCCAAAAAGTACATCTAGCCTGTGTTAGCATTACAGCCTACCTCATACTCACTGTGACACACCTGCAGAAATATGCAATATCAGAACAGCTTCTGAAAGTTACTTGGTCATTTTCTTTAATTTTTGACCACATATTTGATACAAATCCACTGTTCTTTAGAGTTAGTGCTAGGGGGAGCTAGGGCACACCATGGCTACAAGGGCATCTGGGGGGCTAAAGCTGACACTCCAGGTATTTGCAGATGTTCTTCTGGCCTGATGTGAAGCAGTAGGGGTAAGAACCAGCTCCACCAAATCTCTGTCTTTCAGAGAGGGGGGGACTGCCACTAATGATGGCATTCAGGTACTGCGGAGGGAAATATGAACATGTAAGGAGACTAGAGTGGTGGCTGTGGTTTTGGCAGCCTTCAGCAGGTCCACAGTCATCAAATGAGGCTCACATGTTACCAGTCCACCGATGTCCCTATCCCTATCAGCTATGGGTATTGGCAATCAGAGTACAAGTGGCCAACGCTCTTCTTTCTCTGTCTCTAGGGCAGGGTGAGGGTTTTGTTAATATGGTGGGACCTCTAAATAGAGTCACTGCTTCTTTTGATTGAGAAGTGTTAGCTGAGGTTCTATTGATGCATTATCGACTGCTAACTCAGAACTACGTAATAAGACATTCCAACTGCCTATTTATAGTACTACAGAAGAGCTGAAAGGAAATTATTTTCCGATGCAAATTTATGCAAGTGAATGCTAATTCTGCTAACTTTTGATAATTGCATAACACAGTGATTCTTATAGACGTGCTAGTGGAAATAGCACAAAGTAAAAAAAATATAATAATTGCACATAGTAAATCATGTGAACAGTAAATAAGTGTCTCTTCGGTTTTACATCACTGTGGCTCTCAGCAACACCTTTACCGAGCCGACCCTTCTGGAAAATCAAAGCAAGCTAGAACCTGGAAAATCAAAGCGAGCTAGAACATGGAAAATCAAAGCAAGCTAGAATCGTGTTGTAACTAGTTTCTCTTCGCAGTGTGGCTCGGGTATGGGTAGGTTCCTGTATGATAGTGGAAAAGCGTCATTAGTTGATGACAGTATGCCACACATAAGGACTAGTGCAAGCAATTTTAGGCTTCCTTTCACTATCCTGCAGTCTCCTTAGTATACTTTGGCATTGTTATCATTTTTAGATAATTTGTAGATAATCGAATGATTATGGAGGACAAAATGTGACTAATCATAAATAAATAAAGCAATAGTAAAGATAATTTTTTTATTTTTCATTCCAAAGATTTCTAGATAAATTAATTTTGTTTTCATTCAAAGGATTTTTTTTAAGGTTAAACTGTATGATGTAGGCAGTCCTAACCCTTTTTATAAAGCACTATTGGCTAAGGGGACTGATCTGCGCTCCATTACCTTGGCCTTGCTTGGATGAGAAGAATTGGTAGTTGACGTTCATATTAGTAATGCAATTAGTAGAGGTCGACCGATGTATCGGTTTTTTGCCGATTAATCGGCACCGATAGTTGATTCCCGGCATCAGAGCTGAAGCGGCTGAGAACGGTCCGTTGTCCTTATACAGTGCGAGAGCCAAAATACAGTATATATAAAAAATTTGTAGCAGCTGAATCAATGTAATGAAATACACAAAATCTTGTTTTATGAAGTGCAACCAGCATGGTGCTTTAGGTAATGTATTCAGTACTCCAGTTTTTTTATGTAAAAGCACAGACTACCGCTGCTGCTACTAAGAATGTTATTAAATAATTGTCTAATGTTATTTAATGTTGATACACATATGTGACAGGGGGAGAGAGCACGCAAGCGAGTGTGTCTGCATTAATTTCGTTTTAAACGTGTCCGGTTGTTTCAGCATAATACAGTGATGAACTGTACATAAGATAAATAACATAAGGCTATTTAATTTGTTTAATAAAAGGACAAGATATAAACCTGTTCTATAGGAAAGGTAGCCTTAAATGACTTCTGTTGTGATCTTGCGCTATATATAAAATAAAATTAAACAAAATTAACTTGGGGCGCCCCCCTAATAGAATGGTAGGGTAAACACGTTGTGGTATATGTAGCCACATTTTTAGCCACATAATACTGTAGCTGATTGTGTTGACAACCACGACTTCCCGTGCGTTCATTTATACACGTTTGTGTGTGATGGGACGGGGCGAGTAACGCGGCCGGCAGTAACGCCATTGGTTGCACTTGAAGTTATTAGTTATCTAATCCGACAGTATACGGCTCATTGAAAAGAATATTCTCAGAGTTGTGGTCTCGAAATAAAATCCCGAGTCCATGACAAGAACGAGTACAAATATTCAAAGACAAGATCGAGACCTTCAAAAACTGGTCTTACTACAACATTTGATATTACTATAAATTTCTATCATGAAGAAATGAAGCAGTGGTGTAGTGGTAACAAGAAATTTAAACTGTATGTACAGCAGTAAAAACGGTGGGTAACTATATTTATATCCTTAACATTAGTGATCTCAAAAAAGGTGAGTAAACGCTGTTTCGTAAATGGCGTTTATGTGCCTTTACCCTCCACTACACCACTGAATGAAGAATTTGCGTTAAGTAATCTGAATAATTGCATAAAATAATCCAAAAACTCCACAACGTCACATAACACATCAGTGTCTCTCCGACCTAATTTCAGCTAATTATCGTCAAATTCTAGCAGAATTAAAACAAGACTCTGTTGTGTCCGCCTCCGCCATTTTTGAAAACGTTTTTTTTTTTCCAGTTCTCCCAGAATTCATCATGTAAGATACTCAAGGCACGCCATTGGTTCTCGCCACCTTTTTCTTTTATGGCGGTTAGCATCCAGCTTAATGTAGGTATGTTACAAAAAAATCCAAGCCCCCCATATAACCGAAATCTAACTCTAACTGATCTAAATCTAACTGAATTTGATAGAGAACTAGATAACAAACAGAATGACACCAAAATCATTGAAATATCTTGAGAAATAAGGAAGTTATAGCAATTATAGTGGCGGAAATAAGTGGTCATTTTTTCCTTTTGTTCTTAATGTATTTTACACTAAGGCTGTGATCTTAAGTTGAGAAATTTAAAGAAATTGAATAAATTATGTGATCTTCAGAAAAATTAATCAATTTGTTTTATAAGCTGTTTTAGTGAAAAAAGCCCTGCAGGAATGCACAGAATATCAGTGAAAGATCTCTCATAAACACACTTGGTCATCTACAATGTAAACAAACGCGCTTGACGAATCAGGTTGCAGTATAGCAGTCACGTGACCTCTGGGGCACCTCATTACCGTGACCGCTCAGTTGGGAATGCTTTCGTTCGCAAGCAAAACCATTGACTTCGCAACTAAGAATTGTCACGAAATTTCACACAGACATGGTTGAATAAATGATATATCAAATCTATAGGATTCAAATCTAGTGATTTTGAAGTGATGCATTTGAGAAGTAATTTATCGGTAATTTTGCAACGGGAAAAAGAAACACTTCTGACCGGTCAAAAACAAAAATTCGAAAACTATGTTGTGTCGAAAAATGTGAACTATATCATCTATAAGCGTGTGCTCCTGGAACTTTAAAGATAAACCCACCGTTCAACTTTTTCCGCAGCTATGCTATTCCCCGCATCCACCAAACTCGTGATGACATAAACACACCTGCGCGGAAGAGCGGCGCAGCGGGAATCGTGAGATTGTAACATACCTACTTAATGGTACTTTACTGCCACCGCGGCTTTGGTTAGCTTACTGCTCCCAAATTAGGAGGTAGCCACTGTACTTATATGTATAATAACGTAGACCCAACTAATCGATTATTAAACTAGTTGGCAATTATTTTAATAATCGATTTTAATCGATTAAATCGATTAGTTGTTGCAGCCCTAGCTGTTAATACCTGCGCAGAGATGGCTGCGTTTGGAGTGGTGCCATAACACTGGAGTAAAGTTAGCAGTGGGTTCGATATTCGCCAAACATTCATAGATCATCTTCGAATTTACTCTATTAAAACATTACAAAACAAAGTAAATTACACATTCACAAATACGTGTGTGTTTGTGAAATCACATGCACACCTTGGTTATTCAATTATTATATCCAGTAAATTGTGAAAAAGCAAAATAATGCAGCTCCTGGTGTGAATTAACACATTCACTTGGGTTTTGACAGAATGCAACATTTCAAA